CTCTTAAGATAGGTAAAAGATTGTCACCAGAGAGCACACAAGGAAAATAACTCATATAAGATAGACACATCACTACAAAATTTATTGATGCACGAAAATTTTACCATTAAGAATGACTCAACCAAAGTGAAGGTGATCAATGAGTGAACAACATCACATACAACTACATGAGGATGTATTTTCAGCCACTCAAAGACATTCTAAAGAAGAATTGCTTCTCTACTTAAAAATAAAAAAAGGGGAAAGAGCTGCCACAAATAGAGAAGCGTCTTTCCTTGAAGAAGCTTAAAGGGCCGCTTTATTGCTAGCTCGAGTAAGAAAACGTAAGTTCCTGCCTCAACAACTTTATCAAGCTCAAAGAGAAGATATTACTATAGAAACAAGATAAACTAAGTAATATACCCAAAATATTACTTTGAATATTTTTATAATCGAACAAAAACAGGATGGCACAATAATTTAAAATTCTCCTAAAAAGGAAATGACTCCCGAGCTCCATGATCGATAGGAGGATTTCAAAATTCTAGTTTTTAAAATCTCTTAAGATTTTCTGAAAGATCAATTGCCAAACGCTTGAAGATGGTGTAGTTGAGAGGTTGGAAAGTTTGATTTCCTCCACTCAGTGTTTTAATTTTATAGGACTGAAATTCTTCTAAATAGGAACCCATGATCTTGGTATTAGATCATGAAGTGATTGTTAACATGGATCTTCACTTTAAAGAAGTTCATGCAAAGAAGCATTCCTTACAATGTAGGCATTATATAATGAATGAATCAAGAATTTGAATCAATTGGAGAGTTTGAACTACTATATTTTTTGATAAAGATTGTTGACAATGGTGTTGTTCATATCACACCATTGAGATCAAAGAAAGCATTGCTAAAAGTCCATCGCCGTATGATTATTGTCAATTGAAGGTTTGATGACTAGAATCAAGAGGCACAAAGTCTGGATTCTTGGATTGAAATCTAAATAACAGTAGTATAATGATGAGTTTTGAAATTTAAAGCTTATTTTTAATGCATTTATAATTTTGAATTTTTAATTCTGGATTAGGATAAATTCCACTGTATTTGCCTTTTAATTTGAAGTTATCTAGTTATTTGTAGATTGGATTTTCTCTTTTGCGAAGCTTGTTTAGGATTGAATACACTTATACTTTTTATGATTGCTAAAAAGTTCAATACAGTTATGCCAAAAACCTTTTTACTGCATCCTGTTGGTTTTTTAAAAATGAGAAAGAAGAAAAAAACTAAAATTTCTTGCTGTAGATTGAAGGGAAAATTAGAACCACACCTTTTGTGTAGTCTTACAATATTTTAAACTTGGTGCTAATAACAAACTTCCAAGAGAAGACCTAAAAATCAGTCAAAAAAGTAACAAAATTCAAGAAAAAATAGCAACTAACTCCTAAGATTAAGGAACAAACTAAATTCAAATAAACCTAAACTCAATAAGCAGTCCAATAACTCAATAAGCAGTCCTAAGCATGTATTCCAACACTCCTCCTTGCTTTAGGATCTGCGAACACCAAGTTTCTAACTTAGAAACTCAAACTTGCTAATTGGAAGTGACTTTGTAAGCAAATTTGCCACTGATCTTCATATTTGCAGTAAACCAGAGTCACAAATTCTTCTTTCTGCACTTCTCTTAGAAAAAATAACTTGATGTTGAAATGTTTAGTGTTCCTATGAAACACAGGGTTATGAGAAATGACAATGGTACGAATATCGACACCATTAATAGTCATTGCATGTTGTCACCAGAAACTCGAATGAGTTTTGAATCACTTAAGCAAGCTTTATCGACATCGCCTTCCAAGTTCGCATGTTTTGTCGTTGACACCGTTTTGATGAAACCTGATCTTGACTCTGGTTTCTCTTCCAGCACTTGTTTTGTGGAATTTTGTTGCCTTTGAACTTGAGATTGCAAAGCAGTCACAAATGTTAATAAATCTTCTTTTTCTTTTGCAACGAACAATGTTTTTCAGCGACATCTTTTAATCGAGCTTCCGCATCAGCCTGTGAAACTCTAGTCCTTTCTTCAATTAGAACTAGAACGCCAAAAATGTGTCTCTTGAAGAGCAGAGTCTCTCTGCTTGAACACGATCTCTCTATCTTTGCTAAATGCAGCAACCTTTTCTTCTGATTCTTTTAACTTAAGAATGGTTTCTTGAAGTTTTTTATTTTAATCATTGGTCAGTCGTTCAATTTCTGTGTAAGCAAGCATCCTCTCTTTATCCATAGCAAGAGCTACAGATTTAGCTACTTCAGCAGTCTGAGCTGTCTTAGTTAACTTGTCTGCTAACTCACGTATGGTTGAATCTCTTGCACGTAATTCTTTGGCCAATTGCCGAAGTTCTTTATCTTTAACTCGAAGTGTTTCCTTCATTATCGTAAGATCATCTAAATGGCCTTCATTAACCTCATTAATCAATGAAACTTCTAGTGAGTGGGCATGCTTTACAGAACTTTCATTGGGAAAAGAGCCAAAAACCTCCTGCTCCTCCTGCATTGGATTGAGTGATAAGCTCCTCCCTGCCATCTTAACTTCAAACATCTTTTGACCTGCAACATCGTCTATCACACAAGCCTTCTCCATAAACATCACTTTGAATCCCTTTTCTATTAATTGACCAACACTGAGCAATTTTTTATTTATGTCTGGTACATAGAGAACATCGACGATCAACTTGGTTCATGAACAGCTTGCAATGGTTACGGTGCCCTTTCCTTTGACTGCAATATATTCATCATTCCCAATTCTGACCTTCTTGGACTCGGTGCTCTTTAATTCCTTGAACAACTTCTTGTGTCATATGATTAGTGCATCCACTATCAATGAACTAATTTTCACTTGTTTCAGAACTCGTGAAACAAGTTGCAACGAAAAGCTGGTCATCTTCTTCTTGAACTGCCACTTGTGCTTCATCTCCTTGCTGCTAATATTTATCTTGCAAATGATAGCTTCATGTCTCATTTAATTGCACTTGCTACACTCTGCATCTGGTCTTCTCCAGCATTTGAAAAGAGGATGACCTTTCTTGCCACAATGTCAACATGGAGGGTAATCTTTCTTTTGTCCACCTGTAGCTTTGAACTTCTTGTTCTTGGGCCTCCTATTCTTTTCATCATCTTAATGCTTGACTGGAAGAGCTCCTTCGACGGCTACTTCTTGCCTCATTACACGCCTCTGCTCTTGTCCTTGTAAAGCACTTAAGAGTTCTGTCAAAGCAATCTTTGATAGATCCTTTGTGTTTTTGAAGGTGGTGATGGTAGCCTCAAATCTTTCAGACACTGTTACAAGGATTTTCAGAACAATCATTGAATCTTCCAGAGAAGAACCCAATAATTTGACATGATTTGTTATGTTGAGTAGTCTGTCAGAGTACTCCTTTATGGTTTATGTTATCTTCAGCTTTTCAAATTCAAAATCACGAACCAAGTTTAGCACCTGCATCCCTTGAATTCTTTCATCTCCTTCATACTCGGATTTGAGATAATCCCAAATCTTTTTTGCCGTTTTCAACGACATGATACGAGTGAAGATCGTAGAGGAAACTACAACAAACAGGCAAGCTTTTGCCTCGGACTTCTTTGTCTTCTTCTCCTTTTGTGCTTTAATTTGTGTTACGGTGGGATTTTCAGGGAGAAGAGGAATGTCATAGTCTTCTTCCACTGCTTCCCAAAGATCCAAAGTTTCTAGGTATGTCTCTATGCGGACTGCCCGGATCCGGTAGTTGTCTCCGTCCAACACTGGTGGAGCAATTGAGGAAAAACTAGCTTCGATCTCCATTGCCGCTCTTAAACTCGCACACAGGTCCCTTAAGAAGAGAGCTCTGATACCAAATTGTTGGTTTCTTGAAAATGAGAAGAAAAAAAAAAAAAAAACTAATTTCTTGCTGTAGATTGAAGGGAAAATTAGAACCACACCTTTTGTGCAGCCTTACAATATTTTAAACTTGGAGCTAATAGCAAACTTCCAAGAAAAGACCTAAAAATAAGCCAAGAAAAAAATAGAACTTCCAAGAAAAGACCTAAAAATAAGCCAAGAAAGTAACAAAATTCAAGAAAAAAATAACAACTAACTCTGAAGATTAAGGAACAAATTAAATTCAAATAAACCTAGACTCAATAAACATTCCAAAGCATGCATTCCAACACATTCTCTCCAGTAGTTGACCTTAATTTCTTCTCGAAGTAGTTGGCTTACTGCTCCAGCCACAGCCTTCGGCGGGTCTTCAACCGAGCTGCCATCCTTCCTTTTACCCTCTGTCTATGCTGCCACCATCTATATATGCTGGGTTGCTCCTATTAGTACTGTATCTGCAGAAAACCGCAAACAACACTCTGGATTGCCTAATTCAACATTCTAGAATCAAATACCAGTAAGTTTAGCTGGCTGGCTGTCCGGTGCAGGCATAAATCCAGGTGGTTATTTACAACAATCAGTGAAGGAAACTAACAGATCAGTTGATGTGCATTTAATTAATTTGATGAATAAATGATAGTGTTCCCCATCTGTCCTCTAATATCTCATTAGCACTACAATATATCATGACTTTTACATATGATAAGTTCTAAATTTATTTGCTGCTCCTATATTCAAACATCTCAAAAAAATGCCCTGCAGTGTTATTGTGTGCTAGAATTGGTCATTACAAGTTTTATGGGTGACAAAGTTTTCTCATGATTAAGTGATTAAGCAAAGCTATTGTTGGGCTCATGTTCAAAGTGATCAGATCTCTTTATGGATTCCAAATACACTATAAATTATTAAATTGTTTTCCTTCAACTCATTTATGTAACGCGTTTTTATTTCTTTTAGTACTCTCTGAAGCGTACTATTTATCAGTTAATAATGATTTTTGTGAAGTTTTGCAGTAGAATTTACACTAAATTAGGAACTTCTATTGATTCCTTTTAAAATTTATGTTTAATGTAAGTTTTCAGTTATCACTTCCTAACTTGTGATATTCTAACGGTTTTTATAACTGTAGGTCTGGAGATTGAAGTCGATAGAATATTGGAAATAGCTTGTATTATAACTGATGGTAAATTGAACAAATCCGTGGAGGTGACTTTTGTTACATGCATACTACATGGAATTTTTTTTTCTCTTCTTTGTTTTATCTAATTGCTACAATATTTAGATTGCAGTTTTTCAAAACGGCTTCTTTTGAAATAACATTTCATTTTATTTTGAAATAGCATGTTTTACTAAGATTTGTTAATTCCACATTGACTTCGAATTACTTGATAATTTGTTGAAACACTAGACCTTCAATGCTCTATGATGTTGAGTGTTGGCCTTTAAGAGAAAAGTATAAAACAAAGTTAAGTGTTGCCGAGATAGAATGCTTATGTGGATGAGTGGCTTGACACTTAGAGATAAAAATGTGAAATGAATAAATCCGTGATAGGTTTGGTGTAGCTCCGATGGCAAACAAAATTAGATAGAGTAGCCGTAGATGGTTTGGTCATATTAAACGTCGACCATCTGATGATCCGATTAGGAGAGTTGATCTTTTTAATTCAACTTATGTTAAGAAAGGCAGAGGTTGACCTCGAAAGACTTGGGCATATTGTATAAAAATAGATCCTAATTTATTAGAATTAAATGAAAACATGACATTCAATAGGATGCAATGGAAGAAAAAGATTCATGTATCCTATCCCACTTAGTGGGATAAAGGCTTGTTGTTGCTGTTGTTAATGATGATGGTGGTGGTTAATGCCACTCTCTGATCGAGTCCCTAAAATTTTGGGATTCTATGGATTTTTATGCAATTGTTTTTGTAGTTGTTTACATGTTATTTAAAAAATTAGAAAATATTTTATATATTTTCATATGTATAAACTAGCCAAACTAAGTGAAAATTATATATTTTCATATGTATAAACTAGCCAAACTAAGAGAAAATAAAGTAAACATTTAATTCAAGTGTATTAAAGATGAAAATCAAAAGTGCTTTTCTTAGAAGAAGATATTTGACATAGGTAGGTGAACTATTTTGATAAACTTTTCAATGAAGTTTCTGAAAATACGATCGAGCTTTGTGATGTTAATATTGTTAATAATAATAAAACATTTTATTTTTACTGTTGCATTAGTAAAAAAGAAGTTGAAGAGACTTTAATGAAAACCATTAGAAAATCAGTAGGACCTGATGATATCTCAATTAAAGTGTGGAAATATTTAGGAGATTTGGGAGTTTCTTGGCTTACTAAATTCTTTAATATTATTTTAAAAATTAAGAAGATGCTTGAAGAGTGGAGGCACAATATTTTAGTCTCCATTTTTAAGATTGAAGGAGATGCACAATAGTGTGTAACTTATAGAGGAATTAAGTTGATGTGTCATACTTTAAAGTTATAAGAGAGGGTAACTGAACATAGGTTAAGACTTGATGCAAAGATTTCTCATAATCAGTTTGCATTTATGGAAGCTATACATTTACTGAGAGATTTGATGGAGAAGTACAGGGAGAATAAGGAGGATCTACATATGATTTTTATTGATTTAGTAAAAGCTTACGATAAAGTTCCAAGACAAGTCCTTTGATGAGTTCTAGATAAAAAATATGCTTATGACTTATATTCTATTCATTAAAGATATGTATACTAGAGTTGTTACTTATGTTTGAACAGAAGGAGGATTGACCAAATATTTTCCTTTTTAGTTGGATTACATCAGGGATCGACTTTAAGCCCATATCTTTTTGCTGTTGTTACAGTTGTATTACACCGGGGATCTGCTTTAAGCCCATATCTAGTTATGTGGTGTATGTTTTTCGTTGATGATATTCTTCTTGTGGATGAGATTAGAGAAGGAGTTAAAGAAAACTTAAACTTGAATTATGGAGATCTACATTGGAGTCTAAAAGCCTTCTTGTGAGTAGATCTAAAATTGAGTACATGGAATGTAATTTTAGTAGTATTAGCTCTAGTGGGGGAGTTGCAATAAGGGGTGATCAAATCATTAAAAGATGTGATCGTTTCAGATATCTTGGGTCTATTGTTCAAAGTGATGGTGATATAGATGGGGATGTTATTAGTATAATTCAAGTTGGTTAGTTAAAGTGGAGGAATGCATAGGGACTATTGTGTGATAGAAAAGGGCCGCTTAGAATGAAAGGAAAATTTTATAAGATAATAGTGAGACCTGAAATGCTCTATGCTACAGAATGTTGGCCTTTAAAAGAGAAGCATAAAATAAAGTTAAGTGTTGCAGAGATGAGAATGCGAGATGAGAATGCTTAGTGCTTAGGTGGATGAGTGACTTGACGCTTAGAGACAAAAAACAAAATGAATATATCCGTGATAGGGTTGGTGCAGCTCCATTGGCGAACAAGATTAAGGAAAGTCATCGTAGATGGTTTGGTCACATTAAACGTCGACTATCTGATGATTTGTTAGGATAGTGGATGTTTTAGATTCCACTTACGTTAAGAAAGGAAGAGTTAGACCTCAAAAGAAGATTCCACTTACGTTAAGAAAGGAAGAGTTAGACCTCAAAAGAATTGAGCATTTTGTATAAAAAATGATCTTAATGTGTTAGAATTAAATGAAAATAGGACATTCAATAGGACATATTGGAGAAAAATGATTAACGTAGCCAACCCCACTTAGTGGGATAAAGGCTTATTGTTGTTGTTGTTGCTGCATGTTGTTAAGGGGTTATGTGAAAATCTATTTAATGTATAGGTTTATTTGGAGATTATAACTTTCTTTGATGATGCCACTTAAGAACTATTTTTTATTGCTTTGCATTTTATTTAGTGTTTCATTGGTGAAATGATATTCCTTAAGAAAAATTGTCCTATTATTATAATTTATGGGCATTTACATATGTGCCACCTAATTCCTATGCCTTTACATATCTAGCACCTAAACATCCCTTTTTACATTTATACCACCCAGAGCTTTCATATCACATAAAAAATACCACTTTTAAAGAGTGAAATACACCTTTGAATACTTAGATAAGGTAGTATGTACGTAGAATCTAAAGTTAAGCTGTTAGATATGTAAACACTCAGGAATTGAATGGTAGATATGTAAATCTTTCAATAATTTATTTTCGAACTATGCAGGGTCCTGATTTAGTGATCAAGCAGAGCAAGGAATGCTTGGATAGAATGGGAGAATGGTGTCGAGAACATCATGCTGCTAGTGGTATGTCATGTCCGCGTCCTTGAGATTGGTTGAAACTTTAATGCAGAAATTTTAGAGCCAAAATTAACTTTCCATAAGAAGCAAAATTAAATGTATTAATCATAGCTTTTGAATTGTTAAGGTTTGACTGAAAGAGTTTTGCAAAGCACCATAACCGAGGAAGATGCAGAAGAACAGGCATGTTTGAAGCTTTCTCAGTTTCGGCTTAGATATATTATCTCTATTTATTGTTGTTTTGCTCTGAACTGATAATTGACCACATTATTTTTGCATCGTTTTAGGTACGGATATATCTGTTGCAACACAATTTTCATGACTTTTGTTGTTAATTCATTACGTCATGTGGATCAAGATTATCTAATGCTGTCCAGAGCAGTGATGATTCAAAAGGACAAAATGAGAAATTTGAAGAATCTAGAATGGTTCAAGATGTGGGAGGAGAGACTTGGCACATAGCCTATGCGGAGGACGTTATGCAATTCATCAATTTATTTTAATTATCATAATCTCATATTCTTACTGTTACTCAACTTCTAAATGTTTATGTTTTTAATATACGTCCATATATGATAAACACTACATTACCAAAAAAAAAAACTTAAATTGATGATTTACCATAATACCTATAATTATTAAAACAAAGAGTAAAGAAATGAATTAATAAAAGAAATAAAGGAATAATTCAATTGGGAGATGGCATGATTTGCATCAAAGTGGGTAGCTAGGGTTATAACATTCCCTAAATAAAGCTTTTTAATTTGTGCCCCAAGTATTTACTAGCAAATGACAGAAGATACTACTCTGTACGTTTCTTTTATTGACCTCATATTATGAATTATATGTTGAAGAAGCTTTTGTCATGTTCTAGGTACTAAACTTTGTGAAGAATTATGTTGGATCCGAAACCCCTCTTTTAGCTGGAAATTCCGTCTATGTGGACTACATGTTTCTGAAGGTCAACAAAAATATGAACCTCAGTTTTCTACTTCATGGTTATAGTGTGATAGGAAGTTATCATCAGGGTTTCAACTGTTCACTAAAATAATATACACTGAATTTTGATGACTGCATTTTGATTTCTATTGGTTGAATTTGGTGACAGATAACTTTAAGTTATCATTAGATTATTTTTATCAGCGAAACGTGACTTCTTTTTTTTTCTTTTGTTGATGATGTTGACTGATAGGAGTATGTGCATTAGAAAGTTCTTTATTATGTAACATCCTATTCTATCGCCAAAAAAATTAATAGCTTGTGATTATTTTTTTT